AAAAAAAAAACAAAAATAAATTTGAAGAGGAGGACAGCTTTGGCTACTGCCTTTCAAACATGCCTAGCTGAAGCCAGCCAGCCGCATGGGAATAACAGCCCTGCAGATAACACATGCTACCTGCTGTCAACGCACCACAGCCTTACACCTAATTGTGCCTCGGTGGACGCAGGCAGCCAAGCCACCCGCCAGAGGAGCCGCGGCAGGTAACGCTACAGCTTCTTTTTGCTATTTCGTTTCTTTTGCTTTCTCCTTACCCTCATACTTTTCATCTTTAATACTTCTAAGTTTTCATAGCACTAACCCCATTAATCTTCAAGTTTGCCAATAACTTTCTCCTGTAACTGCTTCTTCTGTTTCAGACTTGCAGACTGCTAACTTGTGTTTTTGCCCGTAAAGACTTTCAAGTCTTTTTCAAGTATTTCAGGGGTGCGTGGACGCTATCCACCTGCATTTTATGACAAGAAGGAGGCGTAAGAGCCTGCGAGCATCACTTCAGGTTGATCAGGCGGTCTATGGGGTGGGGACGGCGCAGATCTGTTCGACCCTGCTGCCGTTCAGCCATCGCACATCTCTGAGTGAAACGGTTCGCATTCTTTTTTTTTGTTTTTCCCCCTTTTTAACCTTTTTTTCTTTTTTTTTTTCTTTTTTTTAGCCTGTGAGCCACCAGGAGGGACTGATGCCAGCCTGGCTTAGCTGGGCTCTACCTAGCCCCCACCACCAGGGCTGCCGCCGGCGCCGGGCGGGAACCGTCCTCGGGCGGAATCTTGCTCCTGGGGCGGCTGTTTCCCAGCCGGCGGCGGAAAGCTTTGGGGAGGGAACGAAGCCGCGGGCGAAGGCGGTGGTTGCCGCCGGGCAACTTCGTGCCGCTGGCCCCGCCCTGGCAGAGCGCGGCGGGGGCGGGGCAGAGCCAGGCCGCTCCCATGAGGTAACGGCACCGGAGCTCGGCCCTATGCTGCGCGGGCGGGGTGGAACCGGCGTCACCGCTTAGGTCCGTGTCTGGCGTCGCTGCCGCCATCCCCCGCCTCCAGAGCCATCTCCCCTGGGGTGACAAGGCTGGGCGGGGCGGGTGATGGTGGCCACAGGGGTCTGCGCGGCAGATCGCCGCGGGGGCCCGTGCTG